GCGAAGTAGTGTTAGATCTATACACCAAAATTTCATCTTAATCTGAATTATAAAAAAAATATTAAAATTAAAATGGGGATATAAATTTTTAACAATGCGATGAAAGATGTGACAGCTGGGAGCTAATAGCTTATAACTTAGGAAATAATTTTTATTTTATTTTTTTGAATTTATCTTTTCTCAAGGGCTTATACAAATTTAATAATATTTTAATAACAATTAATAAAAATTATGTTTAATAGCATAAATAGAATTTAGGAAAAATTACAAAAAAAAAACCCCAAGACTACACTTACTATGCACCTTACCCCCAACCCAACTTATTCTCGCGCTTTTTTCCCAAAAGTATTCTTTCTATGCAAATACCACCCTCCCCCCCCCTCAACCAAAAAAGTTCTTTTTTTTTACGGAAATGCCCTTCCAGTACAAAAATAATCAATTTTGCCACTTACAAGGCCTTCACGTGTGGTGCTTCCAGAGTGTGCATTGAAACTGTCGGAGTGGCTGTACTTCGAATCGCGGTCTGGCTGTTTCAAAGCTCAGTCCGGCAGTACATGTTCTAGAAGTATTGTTGCTCCGGTAGTTTCAATGCATGCTCCGGTAGTACCACATCATTCCAGGTAGTTTGAAAGCACGGTTCGACAGTTGTCGCTTCGGCAGTTACAAAGAGCTCTCCGGCAGAAAAGGTTCTGTTAGTCATGTCGCTCCGATAGTTTCACAGCGCGGTCCGACATTACATGTTCTAGAAGTCCTGTCGCTCCAGCAGTTTCAATGCATGCTCCGGTAGTACCACATTGCTCTAGCAGTTTAAAAGCACGGTCTGGCAGTGGTTGCTCCGACAGTTATAAAGAGCTCCGGCAGAAAAGGTTATATTAGTCATGCCGCTCTGGCAGTTTCAAAGCGCGGTCTGATAGCAGATGTTCTAGAAGTACTGTCACTCGCAGTACCACACGTGAAGGCCTTATAAGTGGTGAAATTGATTAGTTTTGTACGGGAAGGGCATTTCCATAAATAAAAAAAAAGGAACTTTTTTGGTTGGGGGGTATTTGTATAGAAAGCATATTTTTGGGAAAAAACTGAGAGAATAAATTAGGTTGGGGGTAAGTTGCATCGTAAGTATAGTCTTGAGGGTTTTTTATAATTTTCCATAAAATTTACTAGTAAACAATATAATATTTAATAAAAATCATACAATAAGCGACATAATACTGTAATTCTTTTACGGGAATTTTCAATAAGCGACATAATACCATGAAATAGCTGATCTTTTGTGGGAATTTTGAAAAATCTTTCTAAATTAATAATACAATAAATATAGGTAGGGAATAATTCTTTTTGAAGTTAGGTGTCGATCGATATAGAGAACTGTTTATTACCTTTTGTTTATAAGAAGATCAATGGTTTTGGTATGCATTGATTACTAACGACGCATGGGATATCGGCGGTAGTAAGATATTATGTCTTAAAGAACTAATATATTGGGTATTAACTTTACCATTTTTTCCATTTCAATTATATGTCAAATAGATAAGTGTTAATTAATATTTTTTTAAATTAATGTTTAATATCAATTTTATAAATATTTTATTGGATATTCAATTGTGAAAATAAATTCATTGCACTCTCTCTTTAAGGCCGTGCTTTATTGAAAATATTTTTCAATGATTAATACTTAATATTACATATATTTTACTAGTATTTCATTAGGAAAAGTATGCTACGATATAATTTGGGACTCGAATAATATGCTAGTTTGTTTTTTGGGTGAGCCAGTGGGAGAGGGCCCCTACCCTTGGGTAGGAATTGAGCCTAGGACGTAACCAATTTAGCCCAGGCTCTACTCCATCCAATGTGAACTACGGGAGGCGGTTGTGAGTCTTTACATTGAGCTTTCATATTAGAACAATTGTTTAATGTGGGGTGGACTGCATTTCTACAAGATGCGGTCCAGAGGTATAAAGCATCGATCTCAAAGATGGATGCAAATAGGTGGTCCATCTAAAAACAATTGTAACTAACGATCCAAATGTTTTTTAATATAATTATCATTTCTAGTTTTCATTTCTTTTTTCATGATCGCCCTGTTAAAGATTTAAAAATTATATTTATTGCCAAGCCTGTATTTCTAGAATATGCTAACCGCATGCTTCATATTACTGTATAGCATTGGGCCCCTCTCTAAAATTATTATCCGAAATAACCTCCTCATCCCATAAAAAACCCATAGAACCCCAAATTAAACAAAAAGTGACTAAATGCGTGTTATTTATTGAACACATTGTGCGCAAAATCGCCCGATCTAACTGCTAACTGCATAGTCCAATTCCGGTTTTGGGCAATTAGGGTGATCAATTGGTATTTAAAAAACAAAAAATTTAAAAAAAATGTATATAATTTCTCAAAAATAAGAAATTTAAATTGTAATGTATTTTTAAATATTCTTTACATTATGGTAAAGATGTAAAATTGTTTTGGTTATTAATACTCACTTTTAGATTTTTCTATAATTTTTTAGAAAATTTTAAAAATAGCCCATAGAAAATATAAAACGGGTTAAAATCTTTTTCTTTTTTTTTAATTAATTTTCAACTTCATTTGAATATGTTTTGTTTTAATTATTTTTTATATGCTTTTCATGTTTTAGTAGATTTTTTTGTATTTTTTTAAATTTTTTTCAACAATTTTTTGATTGTCCGGGACTTGCCAAGTTAGAACGAATGAATCGGCCGGTTTATCGGTTAGGACGGTTAAACCGCTTCCAAACCCATTCCAGACCCCGGTTCGATTTAGCGAAGGCTGATTGAACATATACATATCGTATAAAATCGTGAGCTTTCTCAAGTCCTCTAAATACTGTCCTAGAAGGAATCTATTCTTCCGAATAATGGGAGGCAAAGAAAATTGCGAGGTCCGAATGGCGCCAAATGTTTCAGCCACTATCGCTTCTGCAACTGATTGCCTTTGTGGTCCACCCTGGACCAAACTAGTCCACTTGATGGAATAAAAACTGTTATATAAGACTAACTTTTAGTTGAGGAATCATGTTCCCTAATGCATAGACTAACTCTTATCAAGCATTTCCCATATGCACATTAACAATAATGTATCACAAGCAAATAGCATCTACACGGACAAATATCGGAACACAAGTTTATATTCTTAGTAAATAAAAAGCACAAGCCATCATTTTTGCTATTTACCCCAAATAATTGGAATAATGCTATGATGATAATGATAATAAAGAGTAAAAAACAATGTATGGCTCCCCAGGTCTAACACAAGGCCCATGAATATAATTATTTTGACATCTGTAGCTGCGCTTGAATAATGATTAAGAGTTCCACAAGATGGTGGTCTCTGCGATCATGGATGTCACCACATAGGGGTCCATGTTGGAGGCAGGGCGACGATCCTCAAAGTAACCTAGCAATGGCACAATTAATTATAAATTAACCATAGATACAAATTTAGCAGCCATTTTATTCTTCTTTTCTGTATTATAATATCCATATGAATCTATGGTCACAAGCATCATCCCTGTCCGTTAAATGGGTTGATGGTAATGGAGATAACAGGACCACCACAAAGGTCACATCTAGTTCTGGCGGGTGCCAGTTTCCATTGCTCACCAGTTTATTGGACAGTAATGAGATGAGTACCATAATTTCCTATGGTCATATGGATCATGGTATACTTTCCCTTTCGGAATTTTCAGCCATAAAAAAACAAGAAGCATGGATGTCTTACCACGCCCTTCCTTCTCAGTGTCCCGGCCCACACGTACAGAAGCTCCCCTGTTTGCAACTCCCTGATTTCCAATAATTGCCAAAATCACAGCACCAATGTAACACATTTCTTGCCTAAAACATGCATTTGTGCATCTTTTGCAGATTTAATGAACTTATCTAGTGTGTGAGAAAGAGAGGGAAATAAAACATGCAAGTAGATGGAAAAATAGATCAGGGAATGGGGTTGAGGTCAAAATAGTAGCACCACCTATCCGTTTAAGTTTTCATTCCTAATGTCTTATTCGAAAACCATTTACTATTGGTTTTTTAAAAGGGAAAGTTTATATAGACTCGAGGCTCTAAACAATCAAATATCATAAAATTGATCATCTCGACATCAAGATGTATGGATATGAGAAAAAACTTTCAAGTTTTAAAAATAATGTATTTAGTAATGCATTTTTGGACCGTCTATTTTCAAGATTTTCAAGTTTTCATAAATCTGTTGATCTACACTATTATTTTTGAAGCTTTAAACTTTATAAATAAAGATGAAAATATATTTTAAAGCTATCACAAACCACATTTCTCGACGAAGGTAGGCAATTTGATTGTTTAGAGCCTAGGCTTTAAAAAACAATGGAAAGATTGATAAAAAAAACTGAGAATTAAAAGGAGAAAAAAATGGGGACAGAGAGATACCCAAGAGAAAGTATTGATGTCTGCAGTCTCATGATGACCGGTGAGGCGCCTCTCGTTACCCTCGCCATAGGCAGCAATATGTTCTTTGTGCCTCAACCCAAGCTTCTCAATAGCCTTCTTAATTACTTCATACCCACCTTCCTTCCTCGTAGACTTTGTGCTGCAAATGTTATCAGAGATCTAACCAAATTGAGAGAGAGAGAGAGAGTGAGTGACTGAGAGAGAGAGAGAGAGTAGCACTATTTTAACCTGTAGTTTGTATGGCATCCTGCTCCATTCCAGTCTCCCTGCAATTGCTCAAAGAGATCAATGCATTTTTCCAAGTCAGCTATTTAGTAGTCATATCTACATACTTGGGCATGCTTCTCACCTGTATGGGCTTTGGATCAAAAGTGAGAACTACCCCTGCAATCTCTGTGATCCTCTGTTCAAGCCATGCTCACGGTTACTTCAATCAACTAAGTTTGGAAAAAGAAAGAAGGGGAAGGGAGAGAGAGAGAGAGAGAGAGACCTCAAGGATGTAACGGGCACACCAAAGTTCATCACCAGCTGAAATGCCCTCAGAAGGACCCACTTGAAACTCCCACTGCAAACAGTGTTCAGGATAAGATGATGTTGAGATATGTCAGCAGATTATGCATGTAAGTTGTGGGGAATGAAATCGGATTATGTTAGAGAGATTCACCTGCCCCGGCATGACCTCACCGTTGATTCCACTGATATTAATCCCTGCATAAAGACAAGCTTTGTAATGAGAATCCACCACATCCCTTCCCCATGCTTTGTCTGCACCAATTCCACAATAATAAGGCCCCTGAAAATCAAAACAACAGTTAACAAGTCTCTTTCTGATTATATTCAATACACTGAAGCAATCAAGCAGCAAAGACACAGAATATAGAGAGAGAGAGAGAGGGAGAGAGGTGATTATGGAAAAACCTGTGGACCAGGAAAGCCCCCAATTGGCCATCCCAGAGGCCACTTAACATCTTTCTGGAGCAGGGTATATTCCTGCTCAAGTCCATACCTGAAAAGGGAAATTGTGACTTCAGAAACCTTTTGATGTGATGAGAGAAGAGAGAGAGAGAGAGAGAGAGAGAGATTTGTACACACCAGGGTTCCTCTGCAACCACTTGCGGGTTACTGAAGATCTTCTCTGCTGCAGCTCTCTTGTTGGTAGCTATGGGAGTACCATCTGGAGCGTACGTATCGCATATCACCTGTTTTGACATTTTCGAACCAGAAACATTAAACCCAAAAAAAATGAAAAAACAAAAGAAGAGAGGTGTAGAGGGATTGATATGGTGAAAATATAGCACTTTGCTTACAAGGATATTCTTTCCTCTTCGGAAGGGATCCGGAAAAATTGCTTGTGGGCTGCACAAATTCAAGTAAATTTTGACTATTGAAGTATATAGGGCAATGATGCAACTGTTGTATATATTTGATTGCCCTTCTTTGAATGTAAGAACCAACAAAAATTTAGTGAGGTAGCAAATGATTTTACTAGAGAATAACTTCACTGTCATGGCCAGCAGCTTGTCCAGTACTGGAACCATCATAGTTCCACTTTGGAAGCTGTTTAGGACTATTTACGGGGCTTGAAATTGTCTGCAACATACATTGACGTCAGTGAACACATCAAAAAAAAAGGGAAAGAATAATGAGCGAACTACGTTTAACTTGCATGCCATGAAAGAGAGTTTGAGCAAAGGATTTAGCTGCTAACCCTTGCTTTACTACGCAAGTCCATCCCTGAACCCCCAACCCTGCAAAAGTACAACACGAAAGAATTTCAATTGTTGCTGTTTCTCTCTTAAAATCTATCCAGGACCTCTCTCGATTACCTCATAGGAAAGGAGAAACTCACCATATATATTCAGCGATGATCTTTGTAGTGCAATCAGTCAGGTCAAGATTAAGCAAGTCTGTTAAGATTGACATGGCTGAAGAGCCTCTAAAAGAAGAACAGAGAAGCTAGGAGGGAATGGAGACTAGATTTACAAGCGCAATTATTTCAAAAAAGGATGAACTAGAGGAACCATGTTCCTTCCTATTTATAGACTGAGAACCCACCAAAAAGAAGAGCATTTGCTAATCACATGTAGTGGATAAGAGATGCTGGTTAATTAGGAAGCTAAAAAATAAACTATTACTGGGAGTGTGGTTAAAAAAGAAAGATATGGAAATTGTGGTGGAAATGAAAAGGCCCAACAGACAGAACCATCCAATCTGTGATTTTCCAATGGAAGGAACCACACAATAAAAGACAAACATGTACAAATATCATTAACCAGTGCTTTTTCTACATGGGAAAAAGTATTTTTTCTACATGTAAAAAAAAAAACTAAATTATAAACATATCTCATATGAAACTAGGAATGCATCAGTTTTGGTTTTTTTGAAAATGATAAGGGGCATATGAAAAGGAATAAGCACAAATGCCACTGGAAGTGGTATCTGTGTAACCAGATGGTGGCAATCCAGTCAGGTTAAAGTGGGGGACACTTGAACTTCCATTGTATTTTCTTGTGGTTTATCTCTGCCTCTCCCATCATTCTTATATTGCTACCACCTTTTCAGGGAGAATCTATGGATAACATGAAGCCCATGTTTTCCTAAGATGAGATTATGAAAGAAATTATTAAATTAATCTCCCAATTATTAAATTAATCTCCCAACATACATTGACCAAAACACCCCAGGTGGGGTTCATAAACATACCAAAATACTGGGAATGGGTGTAAGATTAATTTCCTTGGATGATGATTAGTCCATTGTATTGTGGTTATCTATGCTCATTTGATTATTAAATTAATCTCCCAACATGACAAAACACCCCAGGTGGGGTTCATAAACATACCAAATAACTGGGAATGGGTGTAAGATTAATTTCCTTGGATGATGATTAGTCCATTGTATTATAGTAGCTTTCCCATGTACAAAGTACTCATGAACTTGTGCTGTCACATGGCTAGAGAGCATATATCCCATTGTGCTCTGAGTCATAAGCATCTCGATCGGAAAAGTCAGTGTACATAGACAGAGGACCTTCTTCCACTTGCTGTCTTGATACGCCTCTGATACATGAAAGCAACTGATGCAATGAGAACAGTAACCACAGTCACATAATTGGTTGTAATGTCAACTGATTCTGTGTGTAGTTTCTTCAGCTCTTTCGCGATTGCAGATACCCTTCTGTTCATCTTTGCGCTCTGTAAGAGTTGGGTGTGCACTCGAGTTTTGAAGCTCACAGTTCACTTAAGTTCCATGGCCTCATCAGATTGGCTATCTTCGCCTGAATCGGCTAGAGCTTCAGTTATTTCCAAGGCGGATTAACCATATGGGAGTTTCTCAGCAATCTTCATGGTAGTTTGATTCGGGTCGGAACCGATAATTAATTTAAAATAAATAAATTTTAAAAATAAAATAATAATTATTGTAAGAAAATATTTGGACAGTTAATTTCTTTTGTTTTTAGATAAAACACTTATATGCATCCGTCTTTAAAAAGATGCTCTACATTTTTAGACCGCATATGTAGTCATACAGTCTAGCCCGCATTTGCCTTAATCCCACATGTATCTACAAAGGAGCTCAAGCCGTCGAATGAACGGCGGCAATTGCAAATGCCGCGCGTGCGTGCGCGGACGTCGTAGGATATGGGCACCATAAAAAGAAAAACAAAACTAAATGCGTTCACGAACCGCCCGTTTTGGATTGAACCAATAAATTTTTTATTGGAAAAGTATCCTGTCCACATGATGTGTAGTGTGAACAGGCGTCATATGTTTTATATTTTATTTTTATTTAAATAAGATACTTGTCCTTGTATTTTTTTATTTAAATAATATATTCATCTGAATTTTAGAGTTTAGATATATTTTTATAAATATGATTAAATAAAAATAGTTAAAAAATATTTTAAATAAAAATGATTAAAATGCTCCTAAATTTTTTTGATCAATATTTTTATTCAATATATTTTTTATTAATTTGATTCAATCTTATTATAAAAATGGATATAAAACCAAAATTTCATATTAATATTTTTTTTAAATAAAAAATAAAAAATAAAAAACAAGATTCATCATTAGCCCTTGGATAAGCATGGCTCAATCTGAATTGTTAAAAAGTGCTTGTGCACCTTTTAAACATCCACATGTAGTGAACACGATACCAACCTTGATTGATGTGGATCAATTCAAGGCAATACCAACAACCTTGATTGATTTGGAGCAGCTCAACGAAGAGTTGGCTAGTTTTGTTTTGATAGAATTGATCAGCTCTTGATACAACCGGTGTACCGGTCGGTTCTCAAAATACGATAGGAATTGGATACTTTGTGATTCTTATGACCGATCTAAATTCATAATTTTTAAAACCTTCATTTATAACCCTAGCCAAAACCACTATCTGAATCGAGCGATTCCAGTCTTCATTGATGATACTACCAAAGTTCATCATCTTAGCTTCGCTCTATTTTCATACAATAGTCATTTTCAAAAAATTTAGAAATCATGTAAAACAAAACATTCATTTCATTATTGGTCAAGCATAAGATTTTTTAAAACTTAACTTATGATTAGTAGATAGTTAAAAGGCGTAGTTGGCATACCGATGCACCCGTAGCTATAAAGGTAAGGTGCGCCTTCAAATTTTATCATGGTATATAATTTTGATGTAAAATGTTTTTAAGGTTATCTCAAAATCTATTTTTATATCTTATTATAAAATTTCAAATTTAAAATTTAAAATTTCAAAAATGGTTAAAATCAAGTAGATCTTTAAACATATGAAAATCTTGAAAATGGACGGTGTAGATAATATGTTGTAAAATGCACTATTTCTAAGACTTAAAATCTCTTTTTTTTTTCATGGTCATACATCTCGATGTCGAGATAATCAATCAAAGGGTTTTTCAACATTAAAACAATATTTTCCAATGGATTTTTGAGATGCATCCGTAGTTGTAGATGTAAGGTTGCAACTTTATATAAACTTTTTTCATTGTTTATAGTTTGATATATCTGTGTAATGTATATATGTGTAATGTATTTTAGCATAGATGATGAGAAGTAGCTAGGCTTAGGATATAAAAAAGAAAATCGCGAATCTTTCCCGACGGAGAGATACAATATCGTCAGGAAGTGACGTTTTCCTGATTGGGCATTAGACGGAATAGAAAGAGGATTCCAACTTCTTTTTTTTTTAATGTTAAAAATCTTTATTGATAAAATGAAATTACAATTGAAAAGTTACATCACCGGGCACCAACAGCAATGTAAGGGACCCCTCTTCGCGAAAGCAACAGCTAAGGGTAAGGAAATTCGAACCTTTTTACAGACACCAATAGGTCAGCCCTAAGTTGAGTGAGCCCCATTTGGTGATATTAAAAAAAAATAAAAAATCAAAAAAATAATATGATAAGTTTTAATTTTGAGCAGTTTTGGTGATCGATTAATATTTAAAAAAATGTATATAAATTTTAAAAAATAAAAAATTTGATTTTAAATGCATTTTTTAATATTCTTTACATTATGGTGATGATTAAAAATTCTTTTAATCATTAATACTTACTTTAATTTAAAAAATCGATTCGTTAAAATCCATTTTTTCAATAATTTTCAACTTAATATGTTTTGTTTTAATAATTTATTATATATTTTTTATATTTTAATAGATATAATTTTTTATCTTTTGAATACTTTTTTTAGCGCTCGGGACTTGCCCAATTAAAACTGACCGCATCTCAAGCCATATCCAGTTAATTTTGCGACCACAGATTCTATTGCCTCGTGGCTGGATCGGTGTCGTGGAATTCTGCCAGGTCCCCACTAAGATGGAAGCCCACCAATCAGGCAGATAAATAATTATTGAGGTATTCTTGATAGCATAAAATTACCATCAATTTATTCTCTGTCTGGACCTTTTTGCCATAAAGTCGTGCATAAGGCACATCATATTTACTTAATCATAACGATGGATGGAGTTTAAAATCCTCTATCCTGTATATATATCCACTTTTTACAGGCGGTTTCTTCTGTTTGGAATGCTCTTGAATTTCCATGGATCCACCTGTTATTCCATTGTAAGCTCAATTCCATGTTTTTTTTATTTCTGCATTTTTTTTTATTTTGTTTCAAATGTTACTATTTTATTAACAAAGGCAACGCTTTATAGGTTTCCTGGCTCTTGAAATATCTTATATCATGTTATTTGGTGTTGCTTGAAAAGCAAATGGTGTTACGGATTAGAATTAGGGCATTAAGAATTCTCTGATGCGGGATATCGGTTTTACTGAATTTGCGGCTCTAAGGCCCTCATTGTGGATATTTGGTCACGAATTAAGAAGAGAAATTCATGGAATTGGCTTCTGTACCAGTTATTCTGGCTGATTTGAGGGTCTGGTTGGGGTTTTCATTTCCAAATTTGCAGAAAGAAGCAAGATCAGTGCTTTAGCTTCCTTTTGGGTTATTCCTTTCTACCAGGACAGTGCCCTCTGGTTTTTGTCCATTCAGTTAGCATCTCTTATCTTAATCGTTCTGAAAGCAAAGCATTTTAGAGAAAGAAAACGGACAACAAGAAGATAAACAAGCTCTGTTAAAGCTGGGCTCTTCTTTATTGGGTCTTTATCGGGTTGTATAATGGGGTAAAGCCGGATGCAATTCCTGCAGCATGGACACAACATCCTTCTTTGATCCACTTTCTCTCTCTAGATATAAACCAATTAGAAGCAAACTTTCAGGAAATTTTCGTGAGAACAGAGACCGTAGAGTGAGAAACAAGAGAGAGAAATACGTGTGTTGGAGGCGAAAACAGCATTTGAAGGCATGGAAGAACTTCTTTGGGAAAACCCATGTCACCGCAAAGACTACCGTCTTTCTCTCGTCTCTTCGTTTCTCTTTCTAAACTTACAAAACTTAAATAGCTGTCCTGTAATTCAAATACTAGAGCTAAAGCCGCTAATAATTCAAATACCAGAGCTTAAGCCTCGCTGCTGGCCAGGCCTCTAGCCACAGGGACAAAGCACGGGGCAGGCCATACCCACTGCCATCCGTATAGAGTACAGTTCGAGTGAAACAGAGGATCTT